GGAGGCAATGCCGGCTGCAGCCTGTGCGCAGACATTTAAATGAGAAGTTCATGGTGGGAGAGGAGGAGTTCCAGCTCCTTGGTGAGCTTTTATCTTTTGCCCAACCCTCTGGAAGGCGGCTTTGGGGAGGGATCTTTTATTTTTTTCTCCTTTTTTCTTTACTTCCTTTAATTTTTGGTGATTTGTTTTCCTAGGGTCACATGGGAGTAGGTGGGAGACTCACGCCTCCCTGGAGAGACCATGGTGGGAACCATCCTGCCCCTAAAAGCCCCAGGCTTTTGGCAGCATAATCCCAGCCTGTATTGGGGGGAGATCCTCTGGCCCCTCCACCCTGCCTGAAAAAAAGACAGACTTCCCCCACAAGGTGCATATTTCTCCCCCCAAATGGCCTTGGGCAGGTGATGCAGAGCCAGTGCCCCAGGCAAGGCTCCAGAGTAAAAGCTGGCCACCAGACCCAGCCCTGCCATGAGGAGGGCAGCACTGTGCTGAGCATCAGTTTGGAAACCCTCGAAGTTACCCTGTTCAAACGGCAGAGACAGCAGTGGAAAAACTCCCGGCTCGCAGCAAGCTCCGCCGGGGTTCTCCAGCCGCAAAACAAGTTACTTCCATTCCCTGAACAATTGAAATGGGCTCCCACCCTCCCCGTCCCAAAGCCTTCCCACAAGGCGAGCACTGAAATAGAAAGAGGATGGCCAGAACAAAATGCCAAAAAATGGTGTCGCAAACCAGGGGTTTCGTCAGCAAAGAACAGCCAGACCCCGGGATGTGCTTCTCTGCCAGTCTGACCGCAGCCCTTACCAGCCTGAAGCCCCCCGTGCTGGTACCAAGAGGTTGCAGCCCATGGGGTGCAGGCACATAGTCCTGCACCTCAGTCCCAGATTCTGGGAGGAGCTGACACTGGAGCCACCACGGGTACCCAGAGACACCCAAATGCTGTCAGTGCCTCTGCCTTGGAGTCAAACAGCCCCTGAAGCCCAGAGGATGGCTGTGCACGAGGCTGTGTCTGGTGACGCGTTGCACCAAGTAGGGCTGTGCAGAGCTCTCCCTTCCCACAAAGCCTCTCGTTGCACATCCCCAAAATTAGGGCTTTGTTTAAGCAGAGCTTAAGTTGAGCTTAATTTCTCTCTGGATGGAGCTGCAAAGACGAGGCACTGCTGGCTCTCCACCCCTCCTCATCCCTGCACTGGGGAAGTTGCCCATTGGCACAATCGCCACCCAAACCTGGGGGTCCCAAATGGCAGCTGCCAGTGGTGACTGCAAGGGATGCAGGAGGTGCAAACATCTTGCCTGACAGGCTCGTCTCCTTGTGGCCTTGGGGACACCCGCCAGCACCAGGGCTGGGAGCAGCCACCTCACCAGGACCCTACGTCACATCTGCTGTCAAGAGCAGGGCCCAGCATCCCGGGGCCATCCAACAGAGAGGTTGGTGTGTTGGAAAGGAGGCTGAGGGGAGCGGAGCGTGGCCGCTGGCAGGACCCTGGCAAGTTGGCACTGGGTAAGGCAGCACGAATGAGAATCAGGGCCACCACATTTTCCAGGGTGGCACACGTGTCAAGTTAAGTTAAGTTAAGTCAAGTCAAGCGAGGCTTTGGCAGCACCGCCATGGGCAGGAAGCTCACATAAGCGGATGGATTTTGGAAAGTCTCCTGTCAAGGGCAGCTCTGGCTCTGCAAGAGTCCTTGCAGCACATGTGACTCCTTCCAGCAAGGGAGGAAAAGTCTGGGGATGCTGGGGAAACCGTTTTTTTCCAAAGGGCATACAGCCACCTTTGATCCCTTCCTTGGCCAAAAAGCTGGTTGGTGGGGACATCTCTAGACCAGAGGACACAGCTGCAGGTGTCCCCTCCAGACACTTTCAGGCAGGAGGTGGACAAACCAAAGCACTTGTTGATGAGCATGGAGGACATGCCAGGTGGTACTCAGCACAACACCATGCGCTCAGGCTGCTTTTCAGCCATTAATGAACAGTCTCCTGGTAAGGACATAGATGGTCCTCAAGGATTTTCTCCATCCTTGGGCTGGGGACCCTAGCATGGCAGAGGATGGTGGAGTGGCTGGAGCAGTGCCTAGCACTTTTCTTCCTCCCCAGGAGGACAAAACTAGGGAACTGAGCTGTGATGTGAAATAAGGACAGGGGCCTGTCACTACTCGCTGCTGTATTGGGCCTGGGACCTGCTCCGTGTCCCGATGACAGTAGGAAGTGGTCTGCAAAATTGTTCCTCAGCACACACGCGCACATTCCTATGTGCACAAGCAAGCGCAAGAGGATAAAATAAAAGAGGCAAACAGTGAAACATGTGCCTGATTCTCATGGGTCGTAAATAAAACCATGTGGCGGCTCTGAACAAAATGAACCTTGGTTTTCCACCAAAAAGATTTGGCCATCGTTGGGTTAGAAAAGGTTGAGAAACCCATCTGCAGACAGCACATTTCAAGCAGAGCTTCCATGCAGAGGACAGTGCAAGGAGGGCACCTAATCAGCACCAGGGACAGGCTGGACCCTGCACACAGGGTAATGTTCCTACTCTTTCAAGACTGTAACTCATTCCTTATTATTTGCAGACACAAACTTATGTTTCAGTCTTTATTCCTGACATCTGCAAGGGTTTTCTCACTTGAAACGCAGCGCACATACAGGCACTGGCCATGGCAAAGCTTTGAGGGATCCTATACATAACGCAGACAAAGGCTGCTCTGCCCATCTCATGGGTGTCCACAACCCAGGCTGTGGCCAGCAGCAGGCAGTGCTGTGTCCAGGGTCAGGGGAGCCAGGTGAGCAAGGGTGGCCATCACGCAGGTGCAGCTACACACACCCATGGGGATGGAGCTGGAGGTGAACAGTGAGCACATGGAGCTGGTCCCACTTGTGTAAGCAGCAGGGTCAAGATCAGCCCTTCAGGGGTCAGTTACAAAGGGAATGGAGGAAAACTGTTCTCAGACCAACACCCCAGATTGCACTTCCCCAGATCGGAGTTCAGGTTGGACCCCAGGAACAATACCTTCCCCAGGATGGCGAGGGATGGGCTCTCTATTCCCAGTAGTTTCTGGGGTTCCTCCTTTGTCACCTCTGCCCTTTGCTCTAAGCTGAAAATCTTCCCCATGTTTCCTTGGAGCTAGTTCAGCCCTCCGAGCCCAACACAAACTGGAGGTTCCACAAGAAATCTCTACACCAGGAAATCTGTTAGCATTGTCCAAGAAGTGTAAATGTCTTTAACCCCATCGCCTTTCAAAAACTTAATTCCCAGAAGTTTTGGAGAGGTTCTGCCAGGAAAAGTTTTGTCAAAGGACTGTAAGGATTGCAAAAGGCACTGTTTTTCAGGAAAGCCACAAAAAAAAGCACAAAGCCGCCCCAACACTGCAAGCCCTACTGCCAGCTTCCTAGGCATGGAGCTGCCTTCAGGAGCAATCCCTTCAGGGCACTGGTAACCCACCAGCATCGATCGCATCCCAGAGCCCTCTGTGCCTGCAGACCCACATGCCTCCCCAGCACTGCCAGTCCCATGGCCCCAGGGAATGACGGAGCAGTTTTGGCCACTGGCAGCAGGCAGGGCTGGCGACCTGCAGCCCGGGTCCCTTCCCAGGCAGCTGGGAGTGAGCTGAGCAGTATTTGGAGGACACATGGCAGCCAAGCTGGCAGGGTTTGAAAGAGTTCCAAAAAGTAGTCACTTAATTTTTGACAGTATGAGCAAGAAGACAGGCTTTAAGACCATGCTTCTGCAGCAGAGCTGATCAGGACAGGGCTAGGCAGCACCCAGAAGCTACATCTCCCCTTTCTTCTCTCTGCACATGACAAACAGCCCTTTATCTCTCTGCCTGTCCTTTGGTGACAATTTTTTCTTTTGTGCCACCTCACCACAGTACACCAGAATGCCTTGCAAGAGGCTGAGCTACCTCCCTGCAGCTGTTGGACGCCAAACTTTCTCTGCAATCACCACTTTCCAGCAAGCTAGCTCCATGTGGAAGGCATCAAACCCAAGCAACCATGAGCACACAAACCACAGAAACGGTGTTCTGGTTATTTGCTGTAGATCTTACATCTGCAAGGAGACAAGAGTAGTGGGGGAGGCTAACAGGTCACTCAGTGGCAGGGCATGAGACCTAGGAGCTCTGTCTGGACATCCTGCTCCACATGCAACATGAAACTCCTGCTTGCCTTTGAACTTGGCTAAGATCTCTCTGCAAAGGGAATAAACAGAGCTCCTAAGGCCAAGAGGAAGGAGGCAACGTTCCCATTTCACACTTACTGCTGGAAAGCCCTTGGGTGCCTGTGCCCACCCCAGCCAGCTGCCAGCTCTGCACTTCTTTAGTGATGTCACGTGCCCAAAGACCCTGGGGTTTGCAGAGCATGCACTTCCAGGCGGAAAGAGGAGAAAGGGAAGGGTTTTGCAAATGTCTAAGCCTTCCCCCACCAGGATCGGCAGTTCACCAAGCTGAATATGTAAACCTGAGGGCTCTGTGTGGGAAACTGTAAGCTTAGGCAAGCAAACCTCATGCCAAGTGTCGCATCTCTCGCAGCAGGCTGCTTGGAATGATGCCTGAGCCCCAGGGCTGGCTTTGGGATGGGGACAGCCACTCCCCATGCAGAAGGAAATCTCCCTTGGCAGCTCTGCAGGAAACCCTCCACCTTTGCCTCATAGCCCTTTGATCTGGGCAGTGACTGCACGCTACAGCTTGCAGCAGGTGGATGGTGGTAAACAGCAGAAAAAGCCACAGCAGGGAAGC